GCAATAGACTAAAAACGAAACCATGCAAGGAAATGAGTTTTTGTAACTTGTTAAACGAGGAAATGGGTGATTCCCGTTACTCTAGATCTCTAAAACTCTAAATCTAGGGATCTGGAGTAACGGGAATCAAGTCATTCAACGGACAGACTGAGAGGATGCCAGCTCAATGCCAGTCTTTTCCGGAATCTGGAATCTTAATTATTTTTCAACGTAAAGACTAAAAAGACTTAAACGCGCGCCATGGTTCAAAGTAAAACATGAAATTTTGCACCTATACTCTGCTGCATCGATAGCAGTACTCGTCTCACTAGAGTAAAACATGAACTCAGTTTCTGCTTATTATTTCTGATTTTGATACCAGGAAATGAATTCATGTTTTACGCTAATTAGTAGCCCGTGGGTAGACAACAAACACACTAAAAGACAACAGTTTCCTCCTAGCAAGAAACAACGCCACGATGGGAGTAGTGGAGGTCGTTACGATGTACTGGTACATTCATCTGAATAACCAAAGTTACAAGAAGGAGCTCTCGCCTGAGGAACGTCGAAGGAGGAACAGGAGAACCCCACGGATTGCAATCAGGAGATATGCCCATTCCGCCTTCCTCCATCTCTTCCACTCAGGGGACAACCAAGCACTACTCAACTGCTGTGGTATTGACCACAAAGTGTTCAGGGAGCTAGTTGATGTCTTTGCTCCAGTATGGAACAAGTACACTGTCAACAACAACAATGAGATCGTGGAGGCTGCTTGGTTCCCCAGTGGCAAGCCCAAAGGGAAGAAAAGGGAGGTTGATGCAGTCTGTGCCATTGGATTAGTGCTGTATTGGTATAGGACACGCGGCTCAGTAGCAAGGTCAATGGCAATGGCCTTTGGCTTAACATCCACAGTGATGTATAAGTGGCTCAAGTTTTCAAGAAGAGTGATGCTGGCGGAGGCAATGGTCAGTGTCCCAAGTGAGCAAGAAGTGGATGTTTATGTTAAAGCAATTGGAGACAAGTATCCAAGGCTTGGAGAAAAAAGAGTCTGGGCTGCTGCAGATGGTCTAAAGAGTGCCATTGAAGCCTCTGAAGAATGGTTCAAACAGAGAGCCTTTTACAACGCTTGGAAGGAGAACACCTTTGTCAACAGTGTGTTTGTCTTTGCACCAGATGGCAGGATTAGGATTGGAGTCTTCAACTGTCCCGGGGCTTGGCATGACAGTGCCATTGCCGACCATGGTGTGTATGATCAAATTGAGGAGGTTCACGCACAGTCCAATGCAAAGGTCGTGGTTGATTCAGCATTTGCATTGAAGGAAAGGGACCATATCCTCATCAAAAGCTCACAGCATGACCCCGAACAGGAGGACCTCCTCCTCATCAACAGGGATGAAACTTCCTTGAGACAGATGTCCGAGTGGGGGATGAGAATGATTCAAGGACAGTTTCCAAGAATCAAGGACAGGATGTTCTTGGAGGAGCATGGAGACAGGAAGATCATCATGAACTTGTTGGTCAACCTCTACAACTATCAATGCAGCAACATAGGACACAACCAGATCCTATCGACCTTCATGAAGACCCCGACAGCAACAGACGCTGATGTGGGACGTCCGTACCAGTCGATTGACCTAGCAAGAGGGTTCTTTTACGTAGGTCGTGAGGTGTCTCCGGATGCAAATGGTTTGTTTTGAGAATGGCTTGTTTTGAGGTCGAATCCCATGGTCAATAAGAACAATGAAATAGTAACAATGAATGGAATAACAAAGATTAGCGATTAGTATTAGCAAATGAATTAGAAAACACTCCTCCGAATGAGCAAATCCTACGCAAATCCGAAGCGATTAGTACGATAACGCTTACGAGAACGCTTACGATAACACAGCAGCGCATTAGCACGATAACACTTACGATGACTCATGGTGAAACGTTGATACTCGTTAGTTTCGTTAACCATTGTTTAATTCTTTCATTCCTTGCAGTATGCAGTAATACTGCAATCTAGTKAAATGGGGGGGACAAGCGCTGCGATTCAGCGCTGCGACTCCTGCTACTAATAACACGGCACAGTACGTCAATCCGTTCCTTTCCGGTTTTTGTGTATCCTTTGAGGGCCTGCTGTCGTGTTGCTTAATACAYTCCAATGCCGTAATATATATGGGGATATACTGTAATGAATAAGACTTGATTGTTATACTGCCATGAAGACAACTATATGATACATGTCATGTGCAAGCCGATCCGAACCGTTTTCATGGGAATCACCACGTGCTAAAAGGGCAGGAACTGGTTTCTAATCCCGCATTGGTATGCACAAAAACCTATACCAAAGGAATAAGTAACAYTTGTACCGCCGTCTACTGTTGAAACGCAAAATACTGTATACAAGCTTCACACTCACACTGGTATGTTTCACTCCGTATAGTTCATTTCATTTGAATTAGTATCGAACGAGTGTATTTTAGTTAGTAATTAGTATCAAGTTAGTGCGATTTATTCCTCTTCACCATGGGAATCGCCTCCATCTTGCTCTTTACGGGGGCGTTTGCTGGTGCTGTCGATCGATCGGTGAGTGTTGTTTCCGCTTTGCCATTGCTGAAAGCAGGCCATCGCCATTCCGAGAGCTTCCTTCCACATCTGATTTGTCTCTTTAGCAATTTGCGCTGCCTCTTTTGCTATCTGCGAGTGCTCCTTTGCAATCTGACGGTTTTCTTTGTCCCTTTGTTGCTGGTTAATCAAATACTCATTGAACACAGTCGCATCGGGAACTTTTGAATAAGGTCTCTTATTTGGAGTTGKAGTAGAAGACAGTACTTTTGCGGGCAAGATGGTGGCTGACTCCTCTACAGTCGATGCGTCTCCAGCCYGGATAACCGGTGCAACCGGTGCTCTTCCTTCCTGTACTTCAGCAGAGGGGATCCTCTCCAAACCCTCCTCAGCCTCACTCTTAATGAAGCCTTTCTTAATGTCAAAGTCCTCCTCCCCGGTACCAAGGTTCGCTTTCCTTCCAATCAAGTAGTGGGCGCGCCTGGCAAGCATCACATACCTAGGCATGTGGGGGTTCCCAGTTGAGCTCTTCTTTTTTTTGATGGCGTTGTACTTGTTCCTGATGGATTTCTTGCTTCTATCAAAGGGATACTTCAAATCATGCTTGGAGACAACAGTATCCCACTGTTCGGAATCAATGGGGAGCACCTCCACTATCAACTCCATGAGACTCTCTAGCTCTTCATCAGAGTAGTTGAATGAACCAGCTCTGCGGTCATTGTTGTTGTCGGCCATGATGGTGGCGTTGGGATTGTTGTTAAGGAAAATAATGCACGGAATGGGACAATGGGGGGGGGGCATCCTCCTCTTGCTCTCTTTGCTGGTGCAACAGAGAGAGGTAGTAATAATAGTAAATAGCAACTAAATCGACCGGTCGACCGGCGGGAACATTGTTTTCCATGGTGCAGGCGCCTTTGTGTCATTCTTGTTGTT